TAGATCATTCAATTTTGAACAAATTTCCCGAAAACACTATTTAAATTCCGTGAATAGCATAAAAGTTATGATTTTTTTCTCGAGTAAAAGCACTTGCGTTAAATCAGTACTATACAGTTATGTTGTTTGACAATGTTATAGATCATTCAATTTTGAACAAATTTCCAGAAAACACTATTTAAATTCCGTAAATAGCATAAAAGTTATGATTTTTTTCTCGAGTAAAAGCACTTGCGTTAAATCAGTGCTCTCATGCTATTTACAACATTGAGTTTAGAGACATTTAACTTTAGAGTATACCGAGTAGATGTAGAGTGTTATGTTGTTAGGCAATGTTATAGATCATTCAATTTTGAACAAATTTCCCGAAAACACTATTTAAATTCCGTAAATAGCATAACAGTTATGATTTTTTTTGATTGAGTTTAATTGCACTTAATTTTCATTTAGAGTTCAATATAATTGCAAAATGAAACGCTGCTTAGTGATGTATTTTAGTATAGAGTTGTTGTAGCTAGCTAGAATATTAGAAAATATTATAGATTATTAATTTTGAACAATTTTGCCAAATATTTTTTGTTAACTCTAGATGAACAGTTTAAGAGTTACAATAGATATAATATATAAAGCATAGTCGATTACAAGTGTAACGCGGTCTTTTGGACCTTATTTTCGACATCAGTCACGTACCAAATACCAGTAAATAAATGCATATATCTTTTAACAACCTGTATTTCGCAAAATACACTATCCACTATCAACTTATCATACTTTTTTCCCAACTAAAAGACACATTCCTCGGCCTTATGCAATATCGTTCGAGTAATTTCTCTTTCTTCTTCCGTAAACCGAGAGTTGCATTTTATACATTCTGCTCACATTTAACGACGACACGAAATTTAGAACAATTTTATTAAAAACGAGTTGCATAAATACATTTGTAACACTGACGACATTGCACGTGGATAAATAAATAAATGAGATTATGTAATAAATTATTTGTTTGTTATATATCTTGTAACTTTTAAACCGTTCGTCTAATACGAATAAAATGTTTTTCAAATTTGTTTAAAGTTAAATAATCTATAATATTGGCAAACATAAGTATCTCAGTAACTCGGTATATATTAAAATTGCTGTTTGACATTAAAAACAATGAAGACTGTCATTTGCCAAACATTTCAATTCACTTATGGGCTAAGACATTTAAAATATAATATATTCATGATTATGAATAAGAAAAATGTAAGGTATACATTATAATAGCCGAGAAGCAGCTGAGATGTGCCAAAAATTAAAATATATATATTATATATA